TGATGGTTTATATCAGTGATTCCAGCTGGTGCTGAGTACAAAAACATCTGTAAAGGTAGCCTACATTTTGCAATACATCCCCTGTAGATCTCTACTGGGTCAACGACAAAAATATCGGGGAGAATCCCTCCGTCATGTCGTGTATTGTAAAATGTAACCTTCACAAGGAACTCTGCGCAGTGTCTTTGTGACAACTTGCTAGTCTGTTAGATTAGGAAAAATGAATCACACAGAAAGACTACCCATTCGAGATATACCCACATTCGAACGGGATGTGGTGGAGTCTTTTCAGTGAGTGGAGGAATGAGGTAAATATAGGACTGCTGTATTCAGATTGTTTATTTGTTTATTTTCGGTTCGTTGAGGTTCGCTGGGCTCTTGCAGGCGTTGATGAGGTACATAGGACTGCTGTATTTCAGATTATTATTATTTTTTTTCGGCTCGTTGAGGTTAGCTGCGCTCTTGCAGCCGCTGATGAGGTACAAAGGACTGCTGTATTCATATTATTTAATTTTGGTTTTTAGTTCGTTGAGGTTCGCTGGGCTCTTGGAGGCGCTGATGAGATACAAGAGGACTGCTGTATTCATATTATTTAATTATTGGTTTTAGTTCGTTGAGGTTAGCTAGGCTCTTGGGCGTCGAAAACGCGTCAACTGCTGTGTAGAGCTGTTCGAGCTTGGGAAATGTCACTGATAGCTGCTGGCAGCTGATGATTCGCCCCAACACATGCTCTACTTTCATCTTGCATCACGCCCTTGATGACACGACTACTATACTCTGATGAGCCCACTCCAGAGGCACCCCTTGTAGGTCTTGCTCTTGGTGAATAGGATAGGCAAAGCGAGGATGGGCGTGTATGTTGTTTTTGTTCGTCCTGCCCCCCAAGATGGGTGGCACGTGGTCGAGAGTTTTTGAAGTAAATCGCCAACCCTCGGAGCACGCACCCACCCGCTGTTGTACTCTACTCCCCCGCCCACTCAAGTTGGAGCAAACATAAAACCCACCGTCTCTGTGCCCACTTACGTTTTGTGCTGTTATCGGGCAGCAGCCTCTTCACTCACAACGGCTACAGTAGAAGAAATTTCGTCCTCGTTGCTTGTTGTAAACGTGTTGATGGATCCGGTGCTTCTATGTGTATGGATACTCCCTGCCATCCACTATAGAAACAGCACCATGTACTGTACCCGTAGCGGTCGTGCGAAAGAAGTGCCTGTCAAAGAGCACGAGATGAAACCGTAACTATTTTTTTTTTTTTTCAGGTGTCTTTGCTTCGGCAAGGGAGAGACGGACTACTCGTGGGGAGACCCGAACGAGCACCACCGCCTTCGGTGCACCGCCTTCATATCCCTTCTCCACGTCCTGCACAAGTGCTCCTCCTACTTCACCAAGGCGAGGAAGGAAAAAAATAAAATAAAAAATGAATGGTCATGTTTGGGCTCGTATGACTGACAGTGTCGTCTTCTTTGACGATGTTGTTCGAAGGAGTTAGTTTTTTTTATCCGAAAGAGCCAATTACGGTTGGTTTTTGGTCGTGTCGTGTTCATTGACGGTGTGTTGTACTTGGTTTTTCTTTCCGAAATGCGCTCGGTGTTGTTTTTTTTTCGTTGCTTGATTGTTATTGGGCAGAGAGGTAAAGCTTGGTGATCTACAACTGCTGTGTTGGCTGATTTGAGTTCGAAGGGAAGTATATGAGGTCATTTTGCTGTGGGTGGCAAGTGTGGCGGGTGTCAGGGGATGTCGTGTCCTATTTTGTGTGCGAGGCAAGCGCGTGGTGTTTGAACTGCCGATTATTGGTTGCATTGCAGCGCGAGGTGAGTCAAGTTGATATTGTAGTGAGCGAGTGGAGGGCGTTGTGATGCCGTCGCCAGTTCTGGTGGGAGTGTCTGACAGGGACGGTACACTACCTTCCGCTCAACATCCTTCCCCCCTCGCGGACTGGCCTCATCCTCCCGCTATTGTATATACTTGACGTGAGTATCTTGTACTTCAACAAAGTATTTCTCACTGGTCAAATTCCGCTTGCCCCTTTCTCCACGATTGCCATTTGTGATGACACGGTAGCCCCCCCTTACGGTTACCCTTCTATAGGTGGATGTGTCGACCAAGCATCCACAGCCATCGCAGGCTCTGCTGCTGGCATGGGTGGAGCATTTGATGGACGAGGAAGTTCCAGTGGAGAAGTGAGTCGAGGGGGTGAACAAGAACACGACGAAAATAGACAGAAAAGAAAAGGGTGTTGTTTCATATTACACACGCATTAGGTTCCGAGGTTCCGAGGGAAATTGTGATGATACCGGCATGAAAAAGCACCGGTTGCGAGTTTAGGTACAAGTGGAGGTGGTTGAACAAGAATAAAGAACACCCCGTAATGTGGTGGTCGTCGGTGCTTACGTAAAATTCCAGAATAGGAATTATTATAGTGTAGCATGCGCTTTCGATTTGGTTGTGCTGCTCCAACGGTTGCGATGCCGTCGTTGTGTTGATGTTTCTCAGATTCTCACGGATTGGCTGTATAGACTTAACTAACATCATGTCGGAAGCCTGAGACGCAAGAGTTCAACCATTGTTGCACTCTAAAAGCAAGACGTTTTTTTTCGGTGGTTAAGTCCGCGGTCGCCCTTAGACTTTTTTTTTCCCGCCGGCTCTTGGCCGCTGCAGCGGGCCAGTCTCTGGATCACAGTGCCCCTGTCGCGAGCTCGAAACTCCAAAGGCGAGCAGAGT